TATTTTTTTTTTTTTGAGACAGAGTCTCACTCTGTCACCAGGCACCAGGCTGGAGTGCAGTGGTGTGACCTCGGCTCACTGCAACCTCCACCTCCTGGGTTCAAGCAGTTCTCCTGCCTCAGCCTCCCGAGTAGCTGGGACTACAGGCGCACGCCACCACGCCCAGCTACTTTTTTTTATATTTTTAGTAGAGACGGGGTTTCACCGTGTTGGCCAGGATGGTCTTGATCTCTTGACCTCGTGATCCACCCGCCTCGGCCTCCCAAAGTGCTGGGATTACAGGCGTGAGCCACCGCGCATGGCCCCAATTTTTGTATTTTTAATAGAGATGGGGTTTCACCTTGTTGACCAGGCTGGTCTTGAACTCCTCACCTCAAGTGATTCACCCACCACCAGCATCCCAGAGTGCTGGGATTACAGATGTGGGCCACAGCACTTGGCTTTTTTTTTTTTTTCCTCCTGTCTCTCTCTGTGGCCCAGGCTGTAGTTTAGTGGTGCGATCTTGGCTCACTGCAACCTCTGCCTCCCAGGCTCAATGAGTTTCCCACCTCAGCTTCTTGAGTAGCTGGGACTACAGGCTTGTGCTGCCACATCTGGCCAAAATTTTTCTTTTTTTTTAGGATGGAGTTTTACTCTTGTTGCCTAGGCTAGAGTGCAATGGTATGATCTCAGCTCACTGAAACCTCTGCCTCTCAGGTTCAAGTGATTTTTGTGCCTCAGCCTCCAGAGTAGTTGGGATTACATATGTGTGCCACCACGCCTGACTAATTTTGTATTTTTAGTAGACATGGGGTTTCTCCTTGCTGGTCAGGCTGGTCTCGAACTCCCGACCTCCTGTGAACCACCTGCCTTGGCCTCCCAGAGTGCTGGGATTACAGGTGTGAGCTCCCGTGCCCAGCTTTTTTGTATTTTTGGTAGAGACAGGGTTTCGTCATGTTGCCCCAGGCTGTTGTCTGTTTCATTGAGTAAAGTATTCCTAGTGCCCAGAACACTGTCAGGCACTCAATATTTGTTGGATGAATGGATAGCATTAGTAACATTTTGTTGACTTAGTTATAAACAAGACCTCCTTCCCCGTATTAGGCCAAAGCTCCCTGAGGACAGGGAATATATATTATTCTGGATCTTTAATAAATATTGACTGACTAGCTGTGTGAAAACAAGGAGGTGAAAATAAGCTGGCTATGTTTGGTTGGAAATTAGGTGTAAGGGTCAGGTGTGGGGGCTCATGCCTATAGTCCCAGCACTTTGGAAGGCTGAGGCGGGCAGATCACTTGAGGCCATGAATTCAAGACCAGTCTGACTAACATGGTGAAACTCCATCTCTACTAAAAAATACAAAAATTAGCCAGGCATGGTGGCGCATGCCTGTAATCCCAGCTACTTGGGAGGCTGAGGCATGAGAATCACTTGAACCCTGAAGGCAGAGGTTGCAGTGAGCTGCTATTGCGCCACTGCAATCCAGCCTGGGCAACAGCAAGACTCCATCTCACCAAAAGAAGAAAAGAAAAAGAATATTAGGGGTAGGAAACAACTTTTGGTAAAGAATCAAAATAAGTCCGGGCATGGTGGCTCATACCTGTAATCCCAGCACTTTGGGAGGGTAAGGCAGGTGGATCTCTTGAGCACAGGAGTTCAAGACCACCCAGTGTAACATAGTGAGACCTCATCTCTACAAAAAAATAAAAAATTAGCCAGGCATGGTGGTGCATGCCTGTAGTCTCAGCTACTGAGGAGACTAAGGTAGGAGTGTCGCTTGAGGCCCAGAAGGTTGGGCTACAGTGAGCCAAGATCCTGCCACAGCACTCCAGCCTGGGCAACAGTAGGAGATTTTGCCCCCCCCCCCCCAAAAAAAAAAGCCAAATGTGGTGGCTCATGCCTGAAATTCCAGCACTTTGGGAAGCCGAGGTGAGCGGATCACAAGGTCAGGAGTTTGAGACCAGCCTAGCCAATATGGTGAAATCCCGTCTCTACTAAAAATAGAAAAATTAGCTGGGTGTGGTGGTGGGCGCCTGTAGTCCCAGCTACTCAGGAGGCTGAGGCAGGAGAATTGCTTGAACCTGGGAGGCGGAGGTTGCAGTGAGCTGAGATCACGCCACTGCACTTCAGCCTGGGCAACAGAGCAAGACTCCATCTCAAGAAAAAAAAAAAAAAGAAAGAAAAATCAAAATAGATGAGAAAGAAATCACTATGAGAGACTGTACCACAACACAAAGAAAGGGCCTGGTTGTAGAAAATGAAACCTATATGACAAGAAATACGGAACTCTTGGAAGTCACCACTTCTTTGTCATAAATAATAAATAAATTCAATGTGAATGCTCAGTGGGGATCTATTCTCCGAAACCTCTAACCTGTGGGACCGTGGTCTCCAGATTGTAGTGCTTATTCAGGAATTTCAGCAGCTTCGGTGAGGGTCGGTCAATGGCCAGTTGGTGTGGTTCCACTCGCTCCTTCTGCAGGGAACAGGAGACTCAGGGTAGGAGGAAGTATGGGGAAAGCATGCCAACAGGAAGCCAGAAGCCTGGGAAGGGAACAGGACATGGGAACATGGGAGGTGGGAGGCAGGGCTTCTGGAAAGGCTCAGGACAAAGGAGTCCCTAGTTTGGATAAACCAGTGAAGAGGTAAGTGATACCTGCAACATATACTGGAAGAGTTCTCGCCCATGGCCATGGCGTTGCACAGACTCATGGATGTAGAAGTCCAGGATGCAAAGTGGTTCTACCTCATTATGAGCCTCACGATCATCCTAAGAAGGAAAAAATATGTTTTAGGCCCCCCAGCATCTCTGCTGCCTCCTAACCTCCAGCACTTTTGTTCTCAGGAACCAAGGTATACGAACTCCCAAAAACACTCACCAGTACAAAGAGCTTCTTGTATCCAACTTTGATGAAACCAATAATGGCTCCTTTGCCAGCCCTGTAGGACAGGGAAGATAATGAACAAGCTAGTGGTAACCAGCTGGAAGAGATAGTCAAAGATGGGGGAAGGGCCGAGGGAGGAAGGAATTAAGTATGGGATGGAAGAGCATGTGGCCACTCACGGTCGCGCCGAACTGTCTTTGAGAATATAAACAACATGGCGGTTACTCTGCATCCTTGATGCACTAGTGATGGGAGCGGAAAGATTCTGGGCCTGCAGGGAAGATTAAGTCAGACTTTCTGCAAGTCCCTCCAGAGGACCCAGGCCTCCCTTATCTACCATCCCCACAGAGGTCCCCCTTTACTCCATCTAAAAACTCTCCAGTACCTTGGCAGAAGCCTTGCCCAGTTCATCTATAATGGTCATAATTTGCTGCTGCAGATCAACACTGTAAAGAGAGAGGAAATAAACAGTCAGATACTCACTGAATTAGCGGGTCCTGGGCAGTCAGTCCTGGGATCCTGGGAACATGGGCCACAACTCCAACCCAGGTTCAACACTGAAGGCTCCCTGCCTTTGCCTGGGAGTCTTCTAGTCTGATTTCCCATCCCACCCTTCTGAAACCCAAACTTCTGTCACACATTTCAAGGTGGCACACTCCCTCCGCCCTTAAGGTTATTGTGAGGAAGCAGAAAGGCCGGGTCAACCACATCCTTTGGTTGGGACATTTTGGGCCCGGGCCGAAAGGTCACAGATCCAAGCGCTGATCAATCCCACTAGGCCCAGGGTCAGAGGTCACCAAAAAGGCAGCCCAGAACACCAAAAGGAGCGGTCACTCGGCAGTGAGAAGGGGGCGTGGTGCCTGGACCAGGTTTGGAGAGGAACCGGGAGAAAAGGGCCATGGGGCGGGTTTGAGCTGTCACCGGGCCGGCGTTGTGGTTCCGGGTCGGCGGGCTGGGGGCCTCAGGTGCTGGTCCAGCACCGTGATCCGCTCCGGGAACAGCGCGTCCACATCGAACGGGAACTCCATGGCCCATTGTGCGCGGCCGGACCCGCCCCACACGACGTCACTTCCGCCCCTCCCCTCGCCGCGCCGCCCCCTCAGAGTCTTTATTTCCAGGAGCCCCGCCTGCAGACCCTGCCCCTAGCTTCCAGGCAACTGCCCAGGGACCCTATTTTTCTTGCCAAACCAGCTGTGTCCCTAGCAATGCCACTCCTTCCCATCCCTGTATCCCATGGCAGTTGAGTGCCGTCGTGACCTATCTTCCCTGGTCCAGTGTCTCACTGTCCAACCTTTTAGCTCCTCAGTGAACAGTGGGCCATGCTGTGAATGTGGAGTGGGGCCCACAACAGGCATCTTGACAGTGACATAACTGCCCATCTCCGGTTTCTGGTCCCAGGCGTTACTGGCAAGCCTAGCTTAAGCTTAACACTCATTCCCCCCCGCATCACCACCCAATTTGTTTATATGAAGAACATCACTCCCCGCCAATGGCATTTATCTGAAACAGCCCAAAGCAAACCAGATAAAGGAGAAAGAGCTTTATTGTGGAAAAGCTGAGTTGACAGAAGTCTGAAGCAGCAACAATGCTTAGCCCAGCCCATCTATTTACAATACATAGGGGTTGGGGTTTCCCATACACATCTGTACTGCCCTCCCTCAGCCTCAGATTTATCCCTACCAGCAACATTCATTTATTTCCTGGATCTGTCATTGGCTACAAAAGACTGTTCCGGGGTGATAGCCCATCATGTAAACCTATGCATATCTCCTAGTCCTTCTGGCTCTCTTCTCTAGTCATTTTTTTTTTTTTTTTTTTTTGAGACAGGGTCTGACTCTGTCACCCAGGGTGGAGCACAGGGGTGCGATTAAAACCCCCACATCCGGTTGCAGTGAGCCGAGATCGCGCCATTGCACTCCAGCCTGGGTAACGAGCAAAACTGTCTCAAAAAAAAAAAACCCAAAAAACCTCTACCTCCTGGGCTGAAGCGATCCTCCCACCTTAGCCTCCCCAGTAGCTGGGACTACAGGTGTGCACCACCATACCCAGCTAATTTTTGTATTTTTTGGTAGAGATTGGGTTTCACCATGGTGCCCAGGCTGGTCTTGAACTCCTGGACTCAAGTGATCTGCCCACCTTGGCTTCCCAAAGTGCTGGAATTACAGGCATGAGCCACCATGCCAGGCCTCTCTTCCCAGTCTATGGCTCCTACAGAGCATTCTAGGGGCCTGTCTGCCCAGTGGAAGAGGCTTCTGCTGGTGCTGTAGGGGGCACCTTGGGCATTGACTCAGGTGGGGGGCCACTCTCTTCTTCTGCTGGTGCTGTAGGGGGCACCTTGGGCATTGACTCAGGTGGGGGGCCACTCTCTTCTCGGAGATGACCCTGGTAGAGTCGGCGAAGGCGAGACAGTTCTCTCTCTGGTGGCTGTTTCCAGTCGTACCATGGGTACCAGGGCTCGCCTGAGATTAGGGTGGGGGCTGGCGGAGTAGCACTCACAGCCCCATGAGAGGTACTGAAGTCAAGGTCCCGGGGTTCAACCTGGGGGATGTGGTAACTGAGCAGACCTAAGGGGTTAGAAAAGAAAAGAAAGTTAACAGGGGAATGAGGAGGGTGGTTTAGATCAAGAAAGGAAGAAAAAGGATTATAAAGGGAGGGACCGGTCAGAACCACTGGGTACATTTATGCATGTTGTATACTGCAAACAGGTAACTGGCCCAGAGGGCAAGTGTGGGCTGACATACTGCCTGGGCTCTTGCTTACAAAGCTGTACAACCCTGCACCAGGACAATGAAGCTGCATCTGCTCCAGCAGAGGGGTACACCTTTTATTAATTCATGCAACAGTGCCATGTAGTCCAGGGCCAGACATTTATATAAAGATCTTCCTATAATCTTGCTATGGCATTGAGACCAGCAGTTGTAAAACAGAAGGGAAAGGAATGGAAAAACAAAGAACAAGGAGACAGGGAAATGATAAAGAAAGAGACTTGGGAGAAGGGACAGGGGACAATGGAATGTCAGAAGAGACTCAGGAAGACATGTTGGGTGCTACCATCTTGAACAGGTGTGAGCATTTATATCCATCCTCCAGCCCTAAGTCATCTTCCTTATACCTAACAAAACTGCCATGTGCCCCGTCTCATGCTCACCAAGATCCCTGGCTTTCTGGATGGCCTGGGTCAACCTCTTGTGCTGCCTCACACAGACTCCTGTGGGGAGAAAAAGGATAACTTGTTCTTTAAGGCACAGTAATAACAGAACACAACTGCTTCCATATGGTGACAGAGCGCTAGATTTGGAAGGCTTGGCTTTACCCAATGACCCCTTTCACCTGACTCCTCCATGGAACTCAGTTTCCCCATCTGCCCAATGGAAAGAATCTCCCCTATCTTTGGGAGAGCTGGGATAAAGATTTAGGAGAGTCTAGCCACTATAAAGAAGCTATTTAATAGTAAAGCCTCCATGACAGGGAGCAGAACACAATTTTTTTTTTTTTTTGAGACCGAGTTTCGCTCGTTACCCAGGCTGGAGTGCAATGGCGTGATCTCGGCTCACCGCAACCTCCGCCTCCTGGGCCCAGGCAATTCTCCTGCCTCAGCCTCCTAAGTAGCTGGGATTACAGGCACGTGCCACCACGTCCAGCTAGTTTTTTTTTATTTTTAGTAGAGATGGGGTTTCACCATGTTGACCAGGATGGTCTCGATCTCTCGACCTCGTGATCCACCCGCCTTGGCCTCCCAAAGTGCTGGGATTACAGGCTTGAGCCACCGCGCCCGGCCCCAGAACACAATTTAAAGGGCAAATACGGTTAATTAGAGGGTTGAGTTAAACAATCCACAAAGAAAGATTCAATAAAGGGAGAAGAGATTTCAGAGTTGGGGAAAGCAATCTGAGAAAGTAACAGTAATAGTCCCTTCCATCTTTAACAGCTTGACTCTAAGAAACTCTGACAAACTGAACACTGATTGTACTGCTGCCCCCAATAATGGTGGATTAAGGAGATTATTCTCTGCAAGGCCAGGTGCAGTGTCTCGTGCCTATAATCTCATCATTTTGGGGAACTGAGGTAGGAGGATCACTTGAGGTCAGGAGTTCAAGATCAGACTGGCCAAAATGGTGAAAACTTGTCTCTACTAAAGACACACAAAAAATTAGTCAGGCACAGTGGCGCATGCCTGTAATCCCAGCTACTCAGGAAGCTGAGGCAGGAAAGTTGCTTGAACCCGGGAAGTGAAGGCTGTAGTTCTGTCTAGAGTCATATAATAAACATATTAAACTCTGCAGGTCCTGTGGTCTCTGTCTCAGCTACTCAACTCTGTCACTGTAGCCTGGGAGCAACTGCAGACAATAAAAAACAAATGGACATGACAGTGGGCCAGATTTCTCTATGGCTATAGTTAGGGAATAGATACAATTCTGAATTGCTAAATTTATGATTCCAAGTTTGGAAACCTAATTGAATTAACAATGATATAAAATAACTTACGTGACAATTTGTGAAAAATTCCTACAGAAAGGAATTAATCACCATTCATCATTTAAGAAATAAATTTAGATAGATTGCTTACAGAAGTACTTGTCTTTTTTTTTTCTTTTTCTTTTTTCTGAAACGGAGTTTCACTCTTGTTGCCAAGGCTAGAGTGCAATGGCAAGACCTTGGCTCACCGCACCTCCGCTTCCTGGGTTCAAGCGATTCTCCTGCCTCAGCCTCGTGAGTAGCTGGGATTACAGGCATGTGCTACCACACCTGGCTAATTTTGTATTTTTAGTACAGATGAGGTTTCTCCATGTTGGTCATGCTGGTCTCAAACTTCCAACCTCAGGTGATCCACCCACCTTGGCCTCCCCAAGTGCTGGGATTATAGGCATGAGCCCCCACACCCAGCTGTACTTGTCTTTTTCTTTTGTCCACACTTAATTGCTTTAGCCCCCACTAAGCCAAGATTTCCAAAAGGTTCAGCCAGACCTTTTAGGCTTTAAATAAGAGCCATTGAAGAAATACCTGTTGACCAATTGCATAAATAAGGCATGCCACAAGGAAAAGCACCCTGGTGGTGCAGGGATGATGGGCTAACCTGTGTATGGAGCATGGAAGATGATACCCGTATGGGCGCAGACAAACTGTTCCAAGAGCTTCACGTTCTGTTGGGGAGAGTGGTAGAGAAACATGAGGAAAGAGGCAGGGAGAGCAGAAAAACCTTTGGACGCTGAAAGCACAAAATCCCTACACACCCACATGGACGACCTTCACCCCTCCACAGCTCTCCAGATGCTATCTTCCTTCATGTCCCAGTTTGGCTTCATCAGTTCACTGAATCCATCCTTGAACATCCCATATTGTGTCACTGTGCTTCCAAGAAGTTTCTTACGCAGAGGTTAAGTTATTTTTTTTTTTTTTTTTTTTTTTTTTTTTAAGATGGAGTCTTGCTCTGTCGCCAGGCTGGAGTGCAATGGCACGATGTTGGCTGACTGCAACCTCTGCCTCCTGGGTTCAAGCGATTCTCTGCCTCAGCCTCCCGAGTAGCTGGGATTACAAGCACCCGCCACCATGCCCAGCTAATTTTTTGTATTTTTAGTAGAGACAGGGTTTCACCACCTTAGCCAGGCTGTTCTTGAACTCCTGACCTCATGACACACCCACCTCAGCCTCCCAAAGTGTTGGGATTACAGGCATGAGCCACCGTGCCTGGCCTGCAGAGGTTAAGTTCTAAAGTCAGCCTTCAGGTGAAAAACTGGGGCTGGTCATTGGAAGTACCAGAAATCACCCAGAAAATGATATCGTAATGTGTGTGTATAAATAACTAATGTATCTAATAGCATGCTGAGTTGTTTTTTTTTTTTTTTTTTTTGAGACAGAGTCTCACTCTATTGCCCAGGCTGGAGTGCAATGGCGTGCTCTTGGATCACTGCAACCTCCATCTCTCAGGTTCCAGCAATTCTCATCCCTTAGCCTCCCTAGAAGCTGGGATTACAGGCACCCACCACCATGTCCAGCTAATTTTTTTGTATTTTTAATAGAGATGGGGTTTTGCCATGTTGGCCAGTCTGGTCTCTACCTCCTAACCTTAGGTGATCTGCCCGCCTCGGCCTCCCAAACTGCTGGGATTACAGGCGTGAGCCACTACGCCCAGCCAATAGAATATTTTCAGTCTTTTTTTTTTTTGAGATGGAGTTTCGCTCGTTACCCAGGCTGGAGTGCAATGGCGCGATCTTGACTCACCGCAACCTCCGCCTCCTGGGTTCAGGCAATTCTGTCTCAGCCTCCTGAGTAGCTGGCACCACCACGCCCAGCTAACTTTTTTTATTTTTAGTAGAGACGGGGTTTCACCTTGTTGACCAGGATGGTCTCAATCTCTTGACCTTGTGATCCACCCGCCTCGGCCTCCCAAAGTGCTGGGATTACAGGCTTGAGCCACCACGCCCGGCCTTTCAAAGTCTTTAAGGAGCAAATCCTGTCCTTCTCACATATTGAGGCCTTTTTGAAAAATACTAGACTTGGCTGGGTGCGGTCTAGTATTGAAAACCTCAAGAAGAAAATGGGCCAGGGCTGGGCGCAGTGACTCATACCTGTAATCCCAGCACTGTGGGAGGCCGAGGTGGAATGGCTCATACCTGTAATCCCAGCACTGTGGGAGGCAGACAGATCACGAGGTCAGGAGTTCGAGACCAGCCTGGCCAAAATAGTGAAACCCTGTCTCTACTAAAAATACAAAAAATTAGCCAGGCGTGATAGTGGGTGCCTGTAATTCCAGGAACTTGGGAGGCTAAGGCAGGAGAATCACTTGAACCCGGAAGGCGGAGGTGACAGTGAGCCAAGATCATCCTACTGCACTCCAGCCTGGGCAACCGTGTGAGACTCCGTCTCAAAAAAAAAAAGAAAAATAAAGTGGGCCAATATACTTGCTAATAATTATACTGAATACAAATGAGTATGTTTAAATACTGCTCTCTCATTTGAAACAGCCATTTCTCAAACTGAAAAAGTTAAAAAAAAAAAAAAAAAGAAATAGCCATTTCTCTTAACTGCCAATTTAGACTGTCAATTTCAGAGGCACAGGATAAAACTTTTCAGTACAATCCATAGTAGAAGGTAAAAGGCTGGAGAGAGGGATGTTTTTATAGTGTCAGAAACAGTTACTATAAAGTAAACTGCAGGGGCTCTAGGATATGAAGAAATGTGGGGCACCTACAGTAATCTCTTTGGCACTACAAAGGAGCTTGAAATCTTTATTTTTCTTACCATAAAAACAAAAGATTCTCCTTACCCTAAAGTCAACATGCAACTTGTGATCTCGGCAGATGGGGCACGGATTCCCAGCAACTTTATTCCTACGCTGTACAGAGTAAAAAACTGGTGGTTAAGGATGTTCAAACCTCTGTCAGAAAAAGTGCTGCTGTTACTGTCACTGTGGCCTCTACCCCTACTCCACATTCCACTCTCAGAAACTTACAATACACGTTTTCCGAGTACGCTGTGGGGGTACACCACCTTTGTGGTTGCGGCGGTAGTCAGCCCAGACGGGGCGAGAACCATATCGCTCCTGGTATTCTGAAATGAAAAATCACGCAAGTTATTCCTGGGTGGGAGCGTAGTGGGTGACTCTGTCCACTTATCTCAAATCCTTCCTGACCCTCCCTTTCCCCATTTAGAGGTACCTTCTGATTCCAGATATTTCCAGGGCTCATTCTCATAAGGAGAAACGGGAACCGGGGGCAAAGACTTTTCCTCAGAAGGAGCTTTGGTGCAAAGCGTCTGGAGGGGAACCTATAAACAAGAAGAAAAAAAATAAAAGAATGAGTTCAGGGAAAGTACTCAATTGTTTTGCTTATCACACTTTGGAAAGAGGGGGCATGCACACATATTGCATTAATGGAATATAACAGGAATACATATGTAAGTTGAGTATTTTTGTTAGGCTTAAACTAACATAAACCAACAACCACTCTCCTTTCCTACAACTGGATCCTGAAAGAAAAGCTACGCTGGGGAATGTATGCCTGGAAACAAATCTTATTTCAGGAGATAAAAAATCTGGCACATAAAAGGTATTTGTGCTTTTTGGAAATGAATTGAGTCTGGTGGAAGAACAAAGTAAAAGAAAGGATGGCTAGGCTCTTGGAAGTAAGATGTGTGGTGGGGAGGGGATGCAGAAGGCAGATGAGTCTCCAAATCAATCAAGTCACTGAGTTGCCCAGTTTCATAAAAGCTGAAGGCCAACATTCCACAGGGCAGAAATCCTTGAGTCCTAACGCTAGCTTTAAAACTACCAAGGCTGTTATTAACTCTGTATTGACCTCTGTCACTACTCTTCAGTTCCACTTTAGGGAGTGGCAGCTGGGCAAGCCTTCGTATCTCACCGTGCCCCACCAAGAACCTCAGAGACGTGAGTACATAAGACTGGAGGGAAACTGGTAAGCTCTCCTAATTCCGACAGAAAACTGATTAAAACAAAAAAAAAGCCGAGAAACTGTCCTCAGATAGTAAGAATATATCCTGACCTTATTGGGACATAGCAAGGTTGGTAGAAATTAGGACCCCCAATTTCCCTAAGTACATTCCAGAGCAACACAGATTTAGACACCACCTGCATAGTTAAGACCTGACTGTGGCGCTCTCTTGGGGAGCACATATGTTGTGGTAAAACCGCAACGATACAGAGAAGATTAGCATGACCCCTAAATTATTTAAAAAAAAACCAAAAACGTGCTGGTTATACATTACTGGGGGTAGACGGGGGTCAATTCCATCACTTAGTTATTTTACTGAGATGGTATTTGGGAAAAAGGATAACACCTAGCCCTGGCGTTTAGTCTTCGGCTCGGAATTAGAAAACGCACGGTGTATGGGAGGGGGTTGCAGAAGTACTGCATAGAGACAAGACATCAGCACGTGGGAAGGTCTCCACTCGTGGATTCCTGACAGTGGAGCGACGACCTAGAGAAGGAATAACCAACTTGGGGTTGTGCAAAATGTCCTTCGAGGAGTTACCTGAACTCTGTGGGCACCTCGGAAGAGAGAAAGCATAGGAAGCCGCCTCAGCAGGGTGTATAATACGGACGTCGCCATCTTGACGTACGCCCAGCGCAGGAATGTACGGATAGGCAACTGCGCATGCCTCAGGAAACTGACTAGGGCAGGGCCAAGGACAGGCCCGCAGTGCGGAAGCCGGCCGCACGTTTGCGTCAGGACGGAAGCGTGAAAGCAAGGGCGTTGGGGAGAAGCTAATTTCAACTGCGTCACAATCGAATTAGACCTCAAAATTGGTTTTTTTCGGGACCAGTCATTACGACTGTTAGATCCCATTGTTAGAATTTGCGTTTTAAGCAATTTTGAAAGCAATTTTGACCAGGATCCTCTCAATGCGCATGCGCCGATACGTTTCTACCAATCATGGGTGAGAAGTGTTTTCCGGGGCGGAAGTGGCGGAGGCAGAGGAAAGGGAGGGGCTAAGCTCCCTGGTCACGCGCACGCTACAGGGGGGCCAGGAAGGAGGTGGAAGAGAGTGCCAGGGAAAGGGCGGAGCCAAGGCGAAGGGATCGTAGCCAATCACCTGGCGAATTGTCATTTAGGTTGACCAATGAGTTTACGCCTCGCGTACAATGTCTCGCGACAAGGGCGTTTCACTAGCACGTTTGAGGGCGTTGGGCGGCGTCCCGGTATAAAACACTCCACTCGAGCGGGTGGCCGCCATTCTGGGGTTCGTTTAGAGGTAAGTTTGGCTGCTTTGTCGTTTGGTGGGCAAAATTTTGCGGAGGTCCTTGGGTCTGGGAAGTGGGGTAGGGATGGGTTCGTTTGACATCCACGTCGTAGATAAAGCGGCTGTGTTTGTGATGGGACGCAGAGATGTGTTTTGGGACAACAAAGATGGCATTTCTGGGTGTTTCTGAAGAAACCCGTACTGATTATATTTTTCTCCCTTGTGTTCCTTTTATCCCAGGTTTGAATTTTCTCGGAGAAAGACAGGCCGGCCACGAGGAAAACAGAAACAAGCCGCAGCAACATCTAAGCCCTTGCAAGGATCCTGAGAGCGGGGGGAAAGGGAAAACAGCAGCCACCAGCCCAACCACTTGTGTCTTCTGCCCCTTCCCACCTATCTTGCCCACCCCACCAGCCCACGCTGCTTGGGACTTGAAATCTGTGGCCGAAGGACCGTCACCACATAACTTCAAAAATAATCAACCACCCTCCCTTCCCAAACAACCCAAATTCACTCATCCAGCGTTTACTTTTTTGAATCCACTCAGAACTTTTTTCTGCGACCCCCCTCCCTAAATGGAGTTGGGTGGGGGGGGAAATGAATACTGAGTTGGCCTTCAATTTTTTTAAAAGACTTTTTGATCCAATGAGGCTCCCTAAATAATTGAGTTTTGGGTCCTGGTTGGTTGTTTTATTTTTTTTCCTCAAAAATTTTACCCCCTCCCCCCCTGAGCCCGAGGTGCTGACGTCGCAAAAAAATTGGATAGTAAGTGTCGAATTTTCAAAAACCAGCCTTGCAACAAGAAATCAACGTTTCCCGTTGTGAAACCAAAAATAATGAGAGGAAGAAATGAGACCATAGAACAAATAGAGAACTGGAGAAGGACCAATCTGGTCACTTAATCTCCGTTAAAAAGAGCCTGTGGGTCTAAACAGTATTGTTCTCTCCCCCTGACCACCTATCTCTTCCCTGCCCTGCTGCAGGCAAGGAGAGGGTGGAGGGAGGGCCAGCAATTGAGGATTTTGATGGTTAACCCTTGGTAATCCAGCCAATTTCCAGACTGCCAAAGCCATACGTGTTATATAAGGAGGAATGGTTACCTTCCTCTGGTTAGCAGCAGTCTTCAAAAGGGTTAATGAGCTCACATACAAGAGATGGTGGATCTTGTGGCCCAGAAGTACCACTTCTTTGTGTGTGAGACAAGCAGGGTGCCTTTCAATTTGCCAGATTAATAAGCAATCTGTACATAAAGATTGCAGGGTAAGGAGATGGGCAGAGAAATAGCTCGCTGTAACTTTTTAAATGACTGTTAAATCCTCTCAATTTTAATGTAATTTGTTTGGGGTATATGTGTGTGGTTTAAAATAGGTGGCAATCTAGGAATAAAGATTGCAAGACACTTAATTTAGGACAAAATATAATTAGTGCCAGTACATAACAAGATAATGGGGAGGTAAAAAATGTCTTGTAATTGTTGCAGATTGCATAGGTATTTAAAAGCAAAAAAATGATTAACATTTTTACTTGATATTTTTTTGGTGGGAGGTAGAGTTAAATAGAGGGTGGAAAGGTTGGGAAATGTGGAATTTAGGAGTATAATTTTAAAAGCCATTTAGTGCAATTGAATGCTAGCTTTCTAAAAGATTTGTGTCGTTAAAAGGAATTTTTTTCTTCCCTGCTTCAATATGGCGACTTTCCTTGTCCTTTTGTCTTCCAAGCGGCGTTGCAGGTTGTGTCTTGACCCATTTTTTTTTCCTGTCCTCCCACCTCAACCCTATTTGTTGAGAGGGGTCCAAGTCCTTCCTCCCCCTTTTCCCTCTATAGGGAGGATGGGGGTGGTCGATGGTAGCTGGTTGAGCCTCCGTTGCAAATTCTTCCCTGCAGAAAACTGTTCTTTTCGATATTTAATTGCTGTAATTTTCACTACGCTCTTACTGATCAAAATAGGTCAAAGATTATTCAGGATGGGGAAACTGGCTTTTGGTTTTTTACTAAAGGTGTTTTACAATGTAACTGAAGCTACCGGCAGAACCGGGTGGCTTTTTAAAGTTTGAGTCCTCTTTCTCCATTACAAAATGGCGTCCCTCCGTCTTTGTTGTTTTTCTCCCGCTTCTGCCATCCTGAGCTTAGGGCCGCCCTAGAAACTTGGTCAAGGGGGAGGAGCCGCTTTGAAAGGTGATGTAATCAGCTTGCTTCCTCCCTTCTCCACCCTCTTGAAGCTCCACCCCTGAGCAGATGCCTTTGCACTCCCTGTGCTCGTTGCTGCTAGGGAGAAGACATTTTCCTTATTTTCTTTAAATATCTTAAAGGGTAAGAGCTTATAAGAGTTAAGTACGAAGGCTGTCCATTTCCTTGGGTAGCTCTAGTTTTTATAGAACCAGTTTTTATTTTCACTTTCCTTCTCTCATCACAACAGTTTGTAATTTTTCCCCACTTTAGCTGCCAGGGGTGAAAAAACAGGCAAACTTAAGACTGGGAAGCTTTGAGGTTGTGTGTGAGTGTGTGTGTATGTATATATGTGTGTAGGGGGAGATGGGAAAAACACAAGGGCTTGCGAGAGTAACTTGGAGATAAACTGGGGCTTAATGACACTGAAATGTGCCATTTCTGCTCAGGGACCAGTCTGGGCTTCCTGCATTTGGTCGCTTTGTGTAATGGGACTCTGGGGGAAGGTGGGTACTTTAAGGACTTTCTTCTAAATCACCCTCATTCCCACCTCAGTTTGGGGATAAACTCTGTATTCAGTGCTGTATCACGTTCTCCACTTGCTTAGTTCCTGTACATTGGTACTAGGATGAGAAGTGAATCTTTAGGAAAGGAGGCGGCAGTTGTAAACTCAAGGCAGGGGGAATCAAGCTACGGTTTCTGGTAAGCAAAACCTTTCTGGTATTACATTTCACAACTTTCATTTATTTTTTTCCAAAGAGCCACCTTTTTTGAATTTCTTTTTTCCTTCCCTTCTAAAAGAAATTCCTTAAAAGCATTAATGAAAAAATGTCCTCTTCATTTTTCAACTCGTGCAGTGCTGTGGCATTTGGTGCATGCTCAGAAGCCATGCCCTATCCGAGGGTGGTCTTGGGTGTCTGGTTCCTTTCTTTTCTTCCCCCAACTTTTTCAAAGTCAAATCTTTATCAGACTCTCCATATAATTTTCATTTTTAAAAGTCCTGCACTGAAGCGTGGAGGTTCTAGGCAGAAATGGAAAGTATACTGCCCTGTGGTGACTTGGGTGAGACTTAGGGCTAATTTTCTGCTGGATACAGATTCTCAAATTACTACTTAAACTTCTGGATTGGATGGGAGGGACTCTTCCACACGTCTATTGACCACAAGTTTTTTTTTTTGTTTTGTTTTTTTCTTTTAAGCAGTTTGCCATGTGCCTCTGCAGCATATCTTCCTTGGGAGCTGAACATTCTACCCAGTGGGGTTCCTGATCTCTAGTGAGCCAGGGGATTAATAAAGGCCTTCCTTAACATGGGAGATGGGAAGCAAGGTCTACTAGGGGAACCAAATCCATCAGAGAATCTTGGAAAAGCTGATCCCTGTAGATTGTGGCCAGAGTTCTAGTCCGGGGTCTTTATGAGTAGGGGCGGTGTATCATTTTGCCTCCTTACTGAGAGGCAGATAAGCTTTTAAGTCATGTATCAGGTTTGCAAAATTACTTTGAAAGGTAGGGGCTTACTACTTGGAAGAAAGCTACAACCTTGTGATGAATCACTTGAGAGACATAATTCAGTCCACTATTGAGTCAAACTAAAAAAATGCCTAAAACATTGAAGGAAAAGGAAGGGGAACATAAGGAGTTAGGTACAAATACATTTTCATTTCCAGAAGTGCCTCTAAAGGTAAATTTGGGACTCCTTTCTTTTGTTAGAAAACAGTTACCATTTTTTAAAGGGCTCTGGCTTGCACAGCATTTTTGTCCTGAACCAATTTAGTCCTGTTTATTGGTGATGGATGTGGAATAACTAGATATGCTGGATATTTTTTCACCCTATTTAATTGAATAACCCTCAAGTAAAATCCATTTTGAAGGCAGGAGTCGGTGTCACAGACGTTTATCTCTGGTAAGAATGGTAGAAAATTCCCCAGTGCCTTGTGCCAGTAGAGCATGGCTCTCCCCAAAACATTCTCCATGAGGAAAAGCATAGCTTAGGATGAGATGGAGTTAGGCCGGGGGTTGCTGCCTCACCCCCCACCTTCTGTATGTTCTGCAGTCAAGGAAATAGCTCATTAAAAGACATGATCATGCCCTGGATTATTTATGGTTCCAAAAAGCTTTCTCAAGCTTTCATTCTAGGCTCCAGATCTTGAGTAGGTAATGTTAGCGACATTCATGGCCCCTGCCTTTGTCAACTCAGTTTGCCTTCTCTGCTGTAGGCCTGTGCCTGGAATGTTGAGCTTTTCATTTCTTTTCACTAGAGTGCCTTGGAACTTGTTTGGTTTTTTCCCAAAATATGCTGACCTCAAAGTAAGGAAACTAGGTTGTAAGGCGTTTGGGGTCCTT